TATTCAGACCTAATTCTGATTAATTAACATATGTTTTAACAGTCAAATAACGCGAAAATAAATTTAAAACAATAATGGCACATAGAGTACACAGAATACTAGCTTAAAATAGCAACTTAACGCTGCTGTGTTTCGTATGGTGAGTTGGTGAGTGTAGAGAACCGGGCTCCGGTTTTACTGGAAACGGGGCATTCCATCTTAGTCCTCACGGGTGACAAACCATCTGCATTTTGATTCGCCATCGAGGATAGATGTAGATGTCTATGGGCCTCAGCAACCACTTACCATCAGGTGAACTATGTGCTCGTTTGTCACCCTTATCCTATAAAAAAAACATAGAGTACACTATTAACCACAAAAGGATTGTCAGTGAAACTGAGGATATCCTTTCCCGCGAAGGCCTGCTCCACTTGGTTCCTCAGTATGAGATTTTTGTATTTTTTTTTTCATCGCGTACCTGAAAATAATAGAATTTTAGCAGACTACAATGTACCAACACAGGTTTCATAGTTTTTAAACCCCTACCTCTAAATATTTATTATGTTTAAAGCATATTAAAAAAAAGTTACTTCCGCACGAGGATTTTCTCCTGTCGATACAGGATGTAGGATATGTAGGCGTATTCACATGCATAAATTGTACATAGGAAAAATCCAGACCACGAAAAATTATTTGTAACCCATACAAATACTTGTTCGGTGCGGGATTAGAATCCGCGGTCCCGCATTGTCGCAGCCATACGCATAGCCATTGTGCTACTAATACTGAACCGTCTAAATGGATTCCCGTCTTCGTCTATTTCAAGCCGTTTACTGAATTTTATTTTTATCTTGGACCGCTAAAGCTTGACATCGTCGCCAATTGGACACAAGCGTGCAATTTTACTTGACATCTGTACTTAACTGCGCTTTTCTTTTAAGTGTCGAATCTAGCCCTACTTGCTTGTAGGTTTCCATGAACTGCAATAACTTCACTTTAACTTTATAAGACAAAATAGTATTTTTTTATAAACCGTCCGCTGTGAGACATGGAACCTCCTAAGTCGTAGTAGTAGGTATCAATGAACGCTGCTACTCGCCTGTGCATTTACATCTAGAATATAAGAGATACAGAGCCGTGGTACCTCAAGGGCCAAGCGCTCGCTGTATATTTCACAACAGGCGAGCAACCCGGATGCAATCCCCGCCGGCACAAATGAAATTGTTAATTGCAATTTTAAGAGCTGATTTACCACGTGCTCAGCGGTGAAGGATGTTTGAGAAATGAAAAAATATTTCGAAGACATTTAAAGTTCGTCAACGTGCATTGGGGCAGCGCGACGGACATTTCCTTACCTTAAAACCCTCTCAGAAATGAGAGGATGCCTGTGCCCAGCTGTAGGACTGTAGGCTGTAACTGTTATACGTGGTAGAGCCATGCTGCAGCTATATTAGTAATATAGTTGTAGCACGAATGGATCGGCTCGACCGGGGAAGGACCGCTCTCACAGAATACCAGCGTAAAATAGCAGCTTGATACTGCTGTGTTTCGTATGGTGAGTGTAGTGAACCGGAGACCCATTTTACTGGATAAGAGGAATCCCATCTTAGTCCTCACGAGTGACGACGCAACTGCATTTTGATTCTTTATTGAGGATAAATGTAGATGTCTATGGGCCGCAGCATTCACTTACCATCAGCTGGACTGTGTGCTCGTTTGTCACTCTATCTTATAAAAAAAAAACTTTAAATAACTTTAACTTTATACGAGGTAGATATATCGGAAATGTTATCTTTCTGACCTTTCTGGTGGTCGCACCTTACTTGTGACACGCACAGGGTGAATTGAGATGATTTTTTATAGGATAGGGTGATAAACGCGCACACTGTCTACCTGATGGTAAGTGGTTGCTGTGGCACATAGACATCTACATCTATCCTCAATAAAGAATCAAAATGCAGATGCGTTGTCACCCGTGAGGACTAAGATGGAATGCCTCATTACCAGTAAAAAGCGTCTCCGGTTCTCTACACTCACCATACAAAACACAGCAGTATTAAGCTGCTATTTTAAGCCGGTATTCTGTGAGAGCGTGGTTCTTCTCCGGTCGAGTCGACCCATTCGTGCTACTCTATACTATCTACTAATATAGCTGCAGCATCGCTCTACCTCATATGGATAAGGAGTAATGCTGGTTATTTGATTTGGGGCAGAGCGTAGCGTAACCTTCATAATCCCGGCTCAGATGTAACTTTTTATTGCTAACTCTTCTGAAAATATTTGCCCGAATTTGATGAAACTGCAACACTGAACACATAAAAAACGTGAACAGTGCACGTTATTTTTATGTCATGTAAACATTATGTAAATAAATACACAAGTGTTGCCTGTTAAAGATGGTAATTTTTTTTATATAGGAGAGGGGGCAAACGAGCATACGACTCACCTGATGGTAAGTAACTACCGTCACCCATGAACAACTGCAACATCAGGGGAATTGCAAGTGCGTTGCCGGCCTGTTAGAAAGGAGAAAGCTCTTTTCTTGAAGGTTCCTAAGTCGTATCGGTTCGGAATAATCACCGGTGGTAAACTATTCTACAGAGAGGTAGTGGACCGCCAGATGGGTAATAGTATTTTGTGAACATGACAACTTCCTTAATTTTGGAACAATGTGACTTATGTATCCACTAGTAAAATATACATAGCGCAATTTCAAATTTCGATTTTATATTTTAACGTCTATTTTTTTTTAACAACTCCGCCCTACCTATGTCCGCCAGCAACACCCTATAATTAATACCGTAAACATCAAAGAAAGCCAAGTTTTCGGTTTTATACCAAGCCTAATAAAGTTAGTAGAGTCTTTAAAATATTCTACATCAATTTTAAATTGCCAGAAAAAAAGGTTTACATAGAACATTTCTTCTATTTCTACACTAATTTATTAGCTTTTGTTTTTAAAATTTTCTTATAGTTAAAATATTGTTGTACTAGCTGTTCCCCGCAACTACGCCCGCGTAGAACTATTACAATTTTTTTTTTGCGCGGTACCCTAATTGTTTTATATAGAATAGGGCTGACAAACGAGCACAGAGTCCACTTGATGGTAAGTGCTGGCTGTAGCCCATAGACATCTACATCTATCCTCGATTACAAATCAAAATGCAGATGCTTGTCACCCGTCAAAAGCCCTTATAACATTAGCTATCTACCAGTGAAAGTCCCGTCAAAATCGGTCCAGCCATTTCGGAGATTAGTCGGAACAAACAGTCAGACAGACAGACAGACTGACAAAAATTTCAAAAATTGTGTTTTTGTTATAAGTGTCGTACATACTTTCATATCACTGACCTCTATATATGGACTGGTTATCACCGTGACATAATGAGGCGATTTGATTTTCGCCATTTTAGCGCTGACGGCAGAAGTGAACGTCCACGGAACTAATAATAGAGATATGAAAGTGTGACAAAATATATCGATAAAAATTCTATACCCAGGCCTACCTGTTACGTCCATTCTATTTATGTATCATATTAATAAATAATATAAATAAATGTAACAATTGATACCTAGGCCTTAGAAGCGAACTTTATACTTCATATAAAACCAAGATCGACGTTGCGTTGGTCTATCTATGTTTTTAGTCGTAACTACAGAACGGATTTTGTTCCGGGTTTCAAATGAGGAAATATCCAAGCATACCTGCTTCGCGGGGGTAAGAACGGATTATGTCAGACTCGCGCCTACTAAGACTCCATGCTGTTCCACCGTCGCCACACATTGGCAAGGCTACGGAAACGCTTTCAAATACATCAGTGGTCCCACCAGCGAGGACCCCTCCTTAATTGAGGACGTCTCGTCCCCCTTTACCTTCTCAGATAAGGCGCACCAGGAACACAAGACGCACTGCCCTTCGTGGCCTCTTACACCACCTGCACAACGGACTCACCGAGCCCGATATGTGAAGGTCATGGAGCCAAGAGAAAATTAGCACTCAGAAGCGCCCAATGGTACAGCCCCGCCAAAGTAGCGGAGGATAGTCGAGTGGCACATCACCATGCCAAAAATCCTCTTTCCTTGCGACTCCATCTCGGCTGCAGCGATATAGCCGCAGCCCACTAACACACATTCAAGGCCTCGACAAGCCCACTCAGAGTAGGGCCACCTTGGGCCAGCGCTTCACTTCGGAACAGCCATGTGAGTGACCCTACGTTTACCATGGGTTACCAAGCCACAACTACTAATACCCCCCCCCCTCCCCTTTCCCCTAAACTCACGCAAACTTATCAGGCGACCTTTCTACACTTGGCTATGGCCCTTGAGTCTGAAGGCAAACAAGGAAAGAAGAAATAAAAAACATTAGAAATAATAATCTAATACTTTTATACTTACTGGTATTGGTACTACCAGAAAATATTGTGGATTATACTACACTTTTTCAAAGGGTTGCCTTTCTCATGTCCAATAAAACAGTCGTACGTGAGGTGTTTAGAACAAAGATAATCATTTTGTTTCGGACACCCATTCCCAATTTTTACGCTTTTTAGCTATAATTTTAGTCTAGGTTAAGTTGAAAACCTGTTAATTAATAAACATTTGGTAATTATCTGTTGTCGGCGACTTTGGGTGTTAACATATACGGGTAGAAAAGAACATCGATAAGTATTATAGACAAGAAACTCTACAACCCTATTGAATTTTATTGTTTATCAAAACTCAGTAATATAAAGCCAAACATGTTGGTATTAGTAACAAATTTGATTATCAAATTAGTTCTAATTTGTTTAATATTTGCTGTAAATTTATTTACTTGTGGAATGTTAACCCACTTTCCTTTTGGTAACGAGTTTTACATATTTAGCACACTCATTATTACTAAAAAATAATTCTTATTATGTAACTAAAATCAAACATAATCAAACTACATAAAATACTTTAATTTTCTAGTTTAAATGTTCAAAATACAGAGATACGATTTAAATAACACAACAGACTTTGGCATATTATGTCAATCTTAGTTCCCGGTACGGACAATGAGGGCGCTTCAAATCGTTATAAGCATTTTGTATGGTATAGCCAGCGCACATGTATAATATAGAGGTCAGTGTTTCATATGCATTTAGTTAAAAGCTGTTATATTGACATCACAAAGAGACACTTAAATTTTATTTATTTGTATGTACATACAGATTTAGTTAACGTTAAAGGCTATCAAAGTCCACTGTTAAACATAAGCCTCACCCATATATTGCCTTATAGGGGAGATATTTGCCATGGTTACCACACTTGGCATGCGGGTTGGCAATAGCAGTTTTTTAATTGTTATTAGAAAGACTACGCTGCCCATCTACTGGTTTGTATCCCTCTACCGCCTCTTCCGACACCCACTTGACGATATGGGGTAGTAGATTGTCTTACACCACATTCATAATAATACCTATATATTTAAATCTCTAAATTGACATTTAAATATAAGCGACTAAACCACATGAGTAAAGAAATCTTTACTCTGTGACTAAACTACGACTGTATAGGGTCAAACACAGGTCAAAGGCCCTTCGAATCGTGACCACATCACTGTCACTCATGCGGCATGCGAAACACGCGATCGCCTTAAATAACGTTTATAAAATGCACGTATCCATTGCACCATGCAAGTTTATTGTTGAAAAATTATTTCATTTTTTAGAATATTTTATAGATCTTTTGCCTGTGTTTTGATATATTTATGTAATGTAAACTGCCTATAAAAACACGATTAAGGTGAAAATTCTAGTGCGTAACTACCTAGTGTGCAGTGGTAACGTTTTTTTAAATAAGAAATAAAATAGGAGCCGGTAAACACGATTGACAGATGAAACTGTAAGACACTAGTAGAATGAAATAATTTCTATTTAACAGCTTCAAAAGTCTAAGTCAAAAGTGCTATATAGAAGAATTAAATCGACGACTTCAGAAGCTATTATGTGTAAATTATTATTTTTGGTTCTTTGATCCCCTTTGATCCGACATCATACGTGGTAGAGCCATGCTGCAGCTATATTAGTAGTATAGTTGTAGCACGAATGGGTCGGCTCGACCGGAGAAGGACCACGCTCTCACAGAATACCAGCGTTAAATAGCTGCTGTATTTCGTATGGTGAGTGTAGAGAACCGGAGACCCTTTTTACTGGAAACGAGGCATTCCATCTTAGTCCTCACAGGTGGCAACCCATCTGCATTTTGATTCGAAAACAAGGATAAATGTAGATGTCTATGGGCCACAGCAACCACTTACCATCAGGTGGACTGTGTGCTCGTTTGTCACGCTATACTATAAAAAAAAACCATTCCGTAGGTTTCATAAGAGACGGCAGATGAAAACTGAACCAGGAGATGAGCAGCAGCATCTTCCTAATAACAGCTTAATAAATACAGCAAACTGCTGGTTCTGGAGGCCTATGTTCAGTTGTGGACTTTAGACAAGCTGTAATGACATGGTAGTGAATGGTTCTATAAACGTCCTTGACATTTTAAGAGTTGAATTTTTATCCCTTTTAAGTGAATTATCACAATGATAACGACTAGAATGATGTCTCTTTAGTTACATTAAATACGTATCTTCCTATTTATATTTTTTTCCTTATATATCTTCCTATGTATCACCCTTAGGAGTGGATAATTTTCTACAAATTTATGTGGTGTAATAATATAATCTATTAAATTAAAATAAATCATTAAAATAGGTTCTCAATTATAAAGATATATTGGATATATTATAGATATATTAATTATGCGTAACATAATATACAAAAAAATGATGTGTACAGTTCACACGCGGTAGAAGAAAACCTTCAGAAAACGAAACTTGAGAGCATGACACGAATACTCTATCAGGAATTGTAGGGTTTATTTATTATAATATAGCTGTTCCCCGCGACTTCGCTCGCGTGTTAGGGTTTTTATGCTTTTGCGCGGAATCCTAATTCTTTTTCTAAAATAAAAGTAGCCTAAGTTACTCCTTATGAAGTCAGCTATTTGCCAGTGAAAGTCCCGTCAAAATCGGTACAGATTAGCCGGAACAAACAGACAGGCGGACAAAATTTTTAAAAATTGTGTTTTTGTTATACTCGTAACTACTGTATATACTTTCATATGCAATTAGTAAAAAGCTGTAATTTTGACATTACAAACAGACACTTCAATTTTATTTATTTGTATTGATTTTTGTCAAGTTTAAAAATGATATTGTACATTTTATATCATATCATATTGTAGATTCTAATAGAAAACACTGTATACCGTATTTTGTCGCATTCTCTCGCAGGCTAAATCGACATCCAAGGCACAAAATAATCTTACACTGCCTCCAAAACTGTAAAAAGATAGTATAAAATCTGTAGCTAAAACTATAATGTATGTATATTCTATATTGTATAGTGTAATACATAAAAATTTATGTTTGTTTGTTCGTATTTTATGCGCTGCCATACCGTTCATCAGATTGCGCTAAAACTGTGTCAACTTATTAGGTGCTTACACTTGCACGAAGGTTATAAACAGTACAATTAAAATCATATATCATTCGATTTCTATTAATGTATTATCATTCCCAATTAAACAATATAACCCTTCCAAATTTAAAACGATACAAATTCCACAATTATTTCTTCTGCGGTAGCAACACGCCGAGTCCCAGCTTGTAAATAATAGTAATAATACTAAAAATTACGAATTGAATACGAATCGAATACACGAAAAAATAAATCGTGTCACGGCTTTCAATGGATACGTTAGTGCCAATGAAAATGTGTCGCGAACAGGAAACAAGCAATTGCGGGATTAGCGCGTGCCCTGCTTCCTGTCGTACTTTCCAGCAGCCAGTATTAACTGACATACTTATGGGTAACTGACACAATTAGATCCATATTTTATTTCAACGATTAGAAATTTTATTTTTTGTAACAATATATTTATAAAATTGAAGTGATGAAAGTACTTACGAGTGCATTAGATTTTATGCGGCTTCTGCAGTTCATTGATCCCTTCAACCAATATCAAATAGTGAAGGCTAGGTAAGGTCACCTCTGAGGACTAAGATGGAATGTCCCACAATCTTTAATTATACTCTCTATACAGTTCAGACCAGACCACAGGGGTGCACGCATTGCTATTTGGCAGAAATAGCTGAGAGGGTGGTACCTACTCAGACAGAAGAGACACCTAAGACAGAAGAGTCCTACCACTTAGCACCATCTTTAGAATATCGTGTTGTGGTAAGTAATCGGTTAGGTTCACAAACAGCTGAAAACTCCTATAATATTCTCGAACCTACCAATCGGTGTCTCTATCTACCTAGTCAGGTCATAACTATTATCACACAGTAAAAACTTTTCTTTTAGAATGCTGGCCACAAAAAAGTTTATTGAATTCGAATTTCGAATTGTTCATGAAAATAAAACTGTATACTTTTTAGAATTTTACTCATTTTTAAATATGGAGTGGACGCTTAAAGAAGACATTTTTCACGTGGTAGAGCCATGCTGCAGCTATATTATGGTTGTAGCACGAATGGGTCGGCTCGACCGGGGAAGGACCACGCTCTCACAGAATACCAGCGTAAAATAGCAGCTTAACGTTGCTGTGTTTCGTATGGTGAGTGTAGGGAACCAGAGACCCTTTTTACTGGAAACGAGGCATTCCATCTTAGTCCTCACGGGTGACAACGCATCTGCATTTTGATTCTTAATCGAAGATGATGTAGGTGTCTATGGGCCACAGCAACCACTTACCATCAGGTGGACTGTGTGCTCGTTTGTCACCCTTATCCTATAAAAAAAAAAAACCGTGTTGCAGTTATTGCGTTGCATCGTTGCGGTTACGCGCCAATTCAAATTTTTGACATACTGAAATATTTGAATATAACGTACCATCATCGAAAATATACCACCACAGTGGTGAAGACCAAAGGGAGGGTAAAGTTTTTGTCTTTTATGTATTTATGTATGTATAACATAATTATGTCCGTATCCCTTCAACTGTATAGTCATCGCATATTCACAAATCTCGATCGATTTGCCATTATTGCACGGCACGGGCGACATTGACACGTCGTAATATAAATATATCTACTGAACTGTCAAAAACTTAAGACCTAAAAATAATTATGAGCAATTATAGGTATATAGTGCGTAATAAACATGAAAGTCATTCCAAACATGGGGTTACTATAAATTCCTAAATCTAAGTTCATTTCATTTGCTAACTGGTATTTAAAAACACCGGATTTGGTTACACTTCAATCAACAACCTGTTCGCTAGATGGCGCTACTTGTTATTATATTGCGGTCGTAGATTGAGGATTGGTCTATGATTGCGGTATGGTTGTGTTAAGAGAAATAGACTTAGCTACAAATGAGTTTAATCGATCTTCTAAGCGCAAGCGAACGCTCGCGTCATAGGGATATACTAAATTTTTGCAAGTCCTTCCCTTTCGGAAGGACCAAAATATCGTACCATCAAACGATTACGGATGTGACATTGAGTGAAAAAAATCGATTAATAAAAAATCGATTTTTTGCTTTGTGATAATAATCGATTTAAGAAAAATCGATTTTTTGCTTTGTGATAATAATCGATTTAAGAAAAATCGATTTTTTTATAAAAAAATAATCGATTTTTGCGAAAAAAAAATATTTTATTCGAAAAATAATCTTCTGGTTTTAGAAATAAACTACAGAACAATTTTTTAACATATAACTTTGAACAATAAAAAACTAAAAATAATTACTGCCACAAATGTTCAGTGCCATTTAACAATTTATTACAACCGAAATAAACAGAAACGATAAATTAAACTAAGTTTTACTGATTTTGTCGCATTTAATTTAACTTTTTAATTCCCGACATTTCAGGTGCTTTACAGCACGCATGGTCACAGAGGGGACTGAGGTGTTTGGCGTCCCTATGTCATAGTTGAACCACAAATCCTCGCAAAAGAACACCGATTCCTACCAAGGATGATTCACGAGGCTATCGAAATTAAAAAACATTCTAATTTCAATAGAGAAGATGGATGGGTGCTGCCATCTGCTTGGCATCCTATAATTAATAAAATTAAA